ATTCTTGCAAATTTTTTTTTGGGGGGGACCCAAATACAGGGTTGGGATGAGTCAATTTTGATTCTACAGGGTGCGATGGATAAATTGTCGTCTAAATAGCGTCAAAATGAAAATAACAATGACATCTCAATTTTCAAGATCCTCATAACAAGATGAGATAAGGTAAATCTAAAAAACGCAGAGAAAAATTTTTTCAGAATAAAATGGAAAAATTTCGAGGAAAATGAAAAATGAAAATAACGATGACCTCATTTTAACAATGTTTTACATTTGATGGATAAATTGTCGTTTGATAAAAAATGAAAATAATACTAATTGTTTTTAAAACGCAAAACATTGCGATGGTTTAAATTAAAAAAAATGAAAATGACCTCATTTTAACAGATCTATAGGGTGCGATGGATCAATTGTCGTCTAAATAGCGTCAAAATGAAAATAACGATGACCTCATTTTAACAATCTACAGGGTGCGATGGATAAATTGTCGTTTAAATGACGCAAAAATGAAAATAACACTGACCTCGTTTTCACAGATCTACAGGGTGCGATGGATAAATGACGCAAAAATGAAAAAAAGATATATTGATTTAAAATATAAAGGGTGCGATGGATAAATTGTCGTCTAAATGACGCAAAAAAAAAAATAATACTGACATCTCATTTTAACAGATATATTTACCAAAATTACACAAAAATATCTTGAAATACTAAAAAAATTAAATAAATTTAAAATCATTGGTTTCAACCACGGCCTCCAGACGACTTCGGCATCTCCTGCAACTCTTCTGGAAGGTTTCTTTCTTTAAGTTGGTGAATGCTGCCATAATCCTTGCCTTCAATTCATTTTTGGTGTTACAAGGAATTTGGTTGGTCTCTTGCTCAACTGTGCTCCACACATAATATTCAAGGGGGTTGCAGTCTGGGGAGTTATGTGAGCAGATGTAAGGAGTGATGTGGTCACAGAAATTATCTGACAGCCATGACTGGGTTCTCTTGCTTTTGTGGCATGGTACAGAATCCTGTTGCCAGACATAGGGTCTTTCAACAGCCAACCTCATGACCCAGAACAATACTCCCTCCTCAGGGCAGTTGATGTAGGCTTCCGTGTTGAGTCTGAGGCCCTCACCAACAAATTCGGGAGTTCTTTTCTTATCAGAACGATCAGAGTGAGTTTTCCGAGCTGCCGTACTTTCGTAATCACCATTAGACTCATCCAACTCTTTCCGAATCATCTGCACTGTCCTCAGATTGACAACCAAACACTCTGAAATGTTCCGATTGGAGCTTCCGGCGCGAATGCCAAGCAGTACAGCATGTCGCTTCCAAATTCCTAGCGGAGTGGATTGCATCATGGTGCTCTTTTTCTTACAGATGGTGCTCAACTGACCCTACTATACTGTAATTTACAAATTCAAAAACAACGCGCATGCGCGAAATTAAAACAAAAATGGCGACAATTTATTCATCGCAACCTGTTTATTAGGATGTTTAGAAAGTAATGACGTTTTACTTAAAAGTTTATAATTTTGCATTAAAGTTTATAATAAAGATAAATAAAATGTTTTATTAATCACAAAATAAATTAAACAAATCATTCAAAAATATATTCGGACTATTGTCCTCATCTTTGTTACCGATATTTATTAAAACGAAAAATATATTTCTTCAGGTGATTGGAATGTCGAACTGAATTTTATTTCGTTCACCAATATATTTATCTGTTCTAGCCACGTGCCATGTTTAATGGATAAAAGTTATAAGTTATCTCCTGTTAATTTCTGAAAGTTCTCCACTGCCTAAACCGGGTATTGAACTCACAACTTCAATAGAATCACTGATCTAATTAACGCCTTTACCCACTGTGCCATGTATCCTTGAGAAGGGAATTAACAGGAATTAATGATAACATGACATCTATTAAACATGGCATGGAACAGTTTACCCCAGTGAGCAAAATAAAGGGTTCAATCTATTACAAAATGGAATTACTATTTTTTTTTTTACAATTTATAAATAAATATAATAAATATGGCGACAAAGATGAGGACAATAGTCCGAATAATAAAAATTTACATATTACCTCATCTCAGAAATATAAGCAAATTAAATTTATTTAAATATGATTTATCAGAAATGTAATTATCTTCATTTACAACTAAAAGTCAAATGTTTGAGTCTACGTTTAATGTCTGTTATAATGGGAGAAAGCACTCGGCACCGGAGATTACAATTCAGCGGCAGCACCTTCCATATAGCACTATTGTTTTTCTTTCTCCATTTATTGAACAGGTGTACACGTTTATCTCTGGTTTCCTGTTTAAGATTGGGTTCACGGTTACTTCTAACTCTCTTTCACACCGAGTAACCTTATGCGTCTTAGTGGCATTATCACCTTGCTTGGGGGTGAAATAATTTTAAAAATAAGAAGCGAAGTAGTGTCAGTGTAGTATTAAAGTCCAGCGTGACAATATTTGGTATGACTGGGTATGAATAATTGACCCTTATGCATATACATGATAACGTAAAAATTTTACATTTACACAATGCATTACTAGGGTGTGGAAAGGTAAATTTCAAGAATCAATGTGTCTTGATGAACGTAGTTTTTTCTGTTTGTCGATCAAGTTGCTGACAACATCAGTAGTGGTGTTTATTCCATATTCCAATAGCTCCTCACGGAAAACTCTTTTAATATTCCACCAGATACAAAGAAAGAACTTCTAGGGATGGAATCAAAGATTTCTTACTGCTACTGTTTTTTTCATTTGCGAGACTTCTTGAAAAATGGGTTTTGTGATAATGTCACTAAAACGCATAAGGTTACTCGGTGTGAAAGAGAGAAGTAACGGAAACCCAATCTTAAACAAGAAACAAGAGATAAACGTCTACACCTGTTCGATAGATGGAGAAACCCATGCAAAACCCATTTGGACGACCCTCATTTTGGGCGCCGTTTCAAAACATGATTCACATTCAACCAATGCTTGGTTTCTATTTTAGCAGTATTCAAAAAATTAGAAAAAAAAAAATTTAATCCATTTTTTAAGTGTTTACGTATCCTTTCAGTATTAAGTATCCGCGTATGCCTGTCTTCTAGCCAATCCCTATTGAAGACGCTTTCTAAGGCACAATACTCACAGGGTTCACCTGTAACTATGCCGAGCGGACGTCAGTTAAAGTTTTTGGGAAAGAGTTTGTTACCTGGCGTGATCAATACTCTGAAAAAAGCCAGTGCACTAAAACCCTCGGTCACGATGACTTCATGATAACACAACCAGCGACGGTTTCCAAATTTTCTGTCTTCCCAATCTCAACCACAAGAATTAGTTGGGGGGTTGTCAACCAGTGATATCGTTTTCATGCAATTTCCATGTTGTGGGATCGTCTCCCCGATAAGATCAAAGTGTTAATTTCCTAGCAAATCGACTATGGTAACATTTGATCCTGAGTCTCATGGTCGGCCACCGGCCCATTTATCCTTTCAGTAATCATTTAGAAAGAATATGGAAGTAATTTAGTAAGAACAAGTAAGTAATTTAGTAAGAACAAGTAAGTAATTTAGTAAGAACAAAGTTATAAATGGCTTATAGTCTGGTCTGGTCGTATATTAATCATCGGCCTGTTTTAGTGCATTTTGAGCTGAGTAAACTATATTTCGTTTTAATTAAAACAGCTTTTCTTCTTCGGTTGAAATTGTGGGAATGAAGGTTCCGGTGGCAATGCCATTGCATTGATTGTGTTGTTTAATTTTAAATGCTTTTTTATGTTTGGGTCTTAATTTTCTAGAAACCTCTCGAGAGATTTTTGTCAGTTGCTGGTCTCTTTTTTCATTTTTCGTCTGCTGTTTTTCAGCAAAAGTTAAAATGTTAAAAGCTTCAGTTGGCTTTGCGTGGCTGAAGAATGCAAAGATAAAATCACGTTGACTAATTTCGTTAATAAGACGATGAAATGTAAAACGAAAGGTTGGCAATAATTGAAACAGAAAGAAAGAAAGAAAGAAAGAAAGAAAGAAAGAAAGAAAGAAAAGAAAGAAAAAAGAAAAACAAAGAAGGGAAGAAAGGAAGAATGAAATTAAGAAAGAAAGAAAGAAACAAAGAAACAAACAAACAAACAAACAAACAAAAGAAGAAAAAAGAAAAACAAAGAAGGGAAGAATGAAATTAAGAAAGAAAGAAAAAAGAAAGAAAGAAATAAAAAGGGAAGAAAGAAAGAAAGAAAGAAAGAAAGAAAGAAAGAAAGAAAAAGAAAGAAAGAAAGGAAAAATGAAATAAAGAGAGAAGAAAAAAGAAAGAAAGAAAGAAAGAAAGAAAGAAAGAAAGAAAGAAAGAAAGAAAAGGAAAAAATAAAGCAAAGAAAGAAAGGAAAAATGAAATAAAGAAAGAAGAAAAAGAAAGAAAGACTGAAAGAAAAAAGAAAAGAAAGAAAGAAAAGGAAGAAGGAAAGAAAGGAAAAAATGAAATAAAGAAAGAAGAAAAAGAAAGAAAGAATGGAAGAAAGAAGGAAGGAAAGATGGAAAGAAAGAGAGAAGGTAGGAAGGAAAAAGAAAAAGAAAGAATGGAAGAAAGCAGGAAAGAGAAAAAAAGAAAGAAAGAAATAAAGGAAAAATAAACAAAAGATTGTCATCAGACATATTCTCAAAAGATAAATAATGTAGAAAATTAAAACTCCGTGTCAACATTTCAAAACAGATGTGCAATCGAATAAAATTACCGAAATGAAATGATGGAGGCGGGGTTACATCGACGTCTACACACGGACACACACACACACACACACACACGGACACACACACACGGACACACATGCAGACACACGTAGACACGTCTCTGGACACACACAGACACACGATTATGGCAAGTAGAGCATTCTGCAAGAGAAATTGAAACTGAAGCGAAAATGCGTGAAGCAAGGCGCTATCTGGATTTCTGTGTCCGCCCCAAAAACTAAGACAATGGAATTGACAAAAGGATAAGGCAAAAAGAAAATGTCAATTGGAAAGTTCAGTGGGGGGCGGAAGAATCCCTAATTATAAAAGAGGAACGAAACAAAAATTGATCACGTAAAGAAAGAAAGAAAGAAAGAAAAAAAGAAAGAAAGAAAGAAAGAAAGAAAGAATCAATAATAAGACAAAGAAAGAAAAAAAAGAAAACAAGGAAAAAATTGATTAGAATTTTAGATCTTCTCACCCGAAGCAAAGCAATGAAAACCACTAGCACGCAAGAGGTTACTGAAAATGAAAAAAAAAGAAAGAAAAAAGAAAGAAAAGAACAGGATTCAAGGAGGCAGAAGATGACGATTGATATTTAAATTTTTAAAGCTTGTAGTTGACGAGAAATCAGGAAGCCGGGTGAGAGTTCCACAAGTGAGACGTATAGTTTTTTCTTTGCATAGAACTTACGTTTACAACTAGCAATTTCAACAGTGGAATTATGAGACCTATCTACCAATCTAGTACTGCGTTTAAGGTCGTGAAGTAGAGACACCAACGTGGAAACCTCATTAGAACAATTGCCGTGAAAATATTAAAATAAAGAAAGAAAGAAAGAAAGAAAGAAAGAAAGAAAGAAAGGAATCAAAAGTCAAAGAAAGAAAGAAAGAAAGAAAGAAAGAAAGAAAGGAAGAATCAGAGTTCCGTGAAAGAGAGTGTAATTAAAATGTAATAACAAGATGATGCGAATATGTTTCTTTTACATTTCAACTTTAGCGGAAATGAATTAACTGCCTTGGTGATTTTCATCCTACAATAGAGGGCGTAACCGTAATGCTTGACTTCACAAAAACCAACCAACCAAAAAGCCGCAGTCTTCACACGTGACTCACGTAAATCTCATGAAAGAAAGCGAGAAAGAAAGGGGGGGCTCGAATGTTATTATCCCCCCCTACACACACACACTTGGCATCCTTCCATCTCGCTGCGCGTCATGTCCTCCAAAATCGGTAAATTGCTCATCAAATGAGAGAAAATAACGAATTTTTTTTCTTTCCGCTGAACGAGTCGAGTAAGAAGGCGAAAAGAAATAATATTCAAAATATTTAATTGTTCGTGAAAAAATTCAGATTGAAATTCATTGAACAAGAAAGTAGTTGATTATAAAAGTAGATAAACGTGTTTTTTTGACGTGTGTTGACTGATCCGAGGATGTTTGGGTGGACAAGAAAAGGAATGTTTATTGAAATGGCTGCCGAGATGGTTTCATCCGACATGTGTAAATATTTGAGATGAATATTCAATTTGGTACTCTGTTGATAGATATAAATGGAATGAGAGTAGGGGGAGAGGGGAGGGGACACATTGAGATAGATAGATAGATAGATAGATAGATAAATAGATAGATAGATAGATAGATAGATAGATAGATAGATAGATAGATGAATATGAACAGACTGAGATAGATAGATAGATAGATAGATAGATAGATAGATAGATAGATAGATATGAAGATACTGAGATAGATAGAACAGACTGAGATAGAAAGAAAGAATGAAGAAAGAAAGAAAAGAAAGAAAGAAAGAAAGAAAGAAAAAAAAAAACTCGCAGAAGCCAAGGAATTTTCAAAAAACCGTCCTTTCTGCATAGAAGTCGTACTTTTCATACGACCTAACCCTTCGCTTCCCCCCCAATCCGCAAAAAATCTCGTTTATAAACATTATTAATGCAGTCTCCTTAATGTAAGAAAGAAAGAAAGAAAGAAAGAAAGAAAGAAAGAAAGAAAGAGACAAAGAAAGGAAGAAAGATATGAGTGGACTGAGATAGATAGATAGATAGATAGATAGATAGATAGATAGATAGATAGATAGATAGATAGATGTTAATTCTCGAATCAAGAACATCCAAGTGTATTTCTTAAACTAATTTTCACACGCGACCCCACCCGACTCTATTCTTTTCTGTTCTTAACGCAGGTGTAATATTAAATATAAAAGCATTTTGTTCTAGAATCGTTTTTCTAATAATCCTGTTTACTCATGATGACACAGAGTTGTGGTTTGTTACAGGTGTCATCGTTGTTTTATAGTCACCCAACGAAATTCCTCAAATAAATCGAATCGTTTGATTGAGCGCCTGAAAGCCGATCCTAATTCATATTCGTATTTCGCTCTCGTCATTTGTGATGACGTTGCTGTCCGGCGTGACGTCATGAATTCAATTGATGTCTCAATTCTAGAAAATGCGCTGCATGACACAAATATCAACAAATACTGAAACGTCGATAAACACAATAAAAATAAATACAAAATTAGATTTACAAATAAAAGAAGAGAAAAAAACAACTGAAATAAAGGAAGAAAGAAAAAGCGCTTCAAAGAAGAGACAGGCAAGTGTTTATGATTTCACATGTTTTAGAAATTGGCAATAATGAAATCATGTAAACTTACCAGCACATTTGCGAAAAGGATTTATATGTGGAAACAGGAAGAGGATGTAAATAGCAAAAATAATTTGTCGCTAAAGTTTGATTGTTTATATATATATATATATATATATATATATATATATATATATATATATATAACAACGTCAAATCCAGTCCGATAAGGTCCTAACGGATGAAACGCGTCAGAAATTATTTTTCAATTTGTCATACATTTTCTTTTTTAAACTGTTATTGATATAAAAAAATTATATATCTTTATCCCAACTACACACACACACACACATATATATATATATATATATATATATATATGTGTGTGTGTGTGTGTGTGTGTGTGTGGTAATAATATATATATATATATATAGGGATAACGATATATAATTTATTTATATATATATATATATATATATATATATATATATATAATATAAAGATATATAATTGGGATATATATATATATATATATATATATATATATATATATATATATATACAGACAGACAGACACAAACAATTCATCATGTCTAGACCTAGAATCCTTAACACATACGCAGGAAAGCACAGGACGGTCGTTTCGACTTCAGCAGTTCACATCCTCTACTTTGAGACTTTGGATATATATATACCCGGATATATATATATATATATATATATATATATATATACCAGTTGCTCTCAAGTAGCACAACTCTGAGTTTCATGCACATCGCAATCGTTATGTCCGGTTTGTAAATTTAACCGTTGTAAAAAAAGAAATGTATAAATGTAGCTCTGCTATTATGCATCGAGCACTACCACCAGCACTCAGTGTGCGATACTAAACAGAAAAAAGGGATAAATCTCTACTCCTGTTCAAAAGACTGAATCGAGCAACTGCCAAACCTATCTACTCCTATTAATATATATATATATATATATATATATATGTGTGTGTGTGTGTGTGTGTGTGTGTGTGTGTTAAGGAACAAGAAACTTTGATTAGAAACAAGGAAAAGTTTGCTGAACTGTTATAATGTATCAATCCCCCTTCATGGCAGTAAATACTGGGCTTGGATAAAGAGAAAACTCTGGGCAACAGAGATGTAGTTCTACAGAAGGATGCTGAGAATGCTATGAACAACTAAAAAGTTTTAAGGAACTATTTTACGTAAAAATCAAAAAGAGACTGTTGAAAATTCTAGAACCCACAATGAGAAAAGAAGGCGTGGGAAATCTGATACTCTTAAGGCAAGAGTTTCAAAGGAAAGCTGGGAATTACCTAGTTTGTTTAAATGAATGGCAGAACAAGGGATAGTAAAAAGTTATTGCTAAGAGCTACAAAGGATAGGAAGTTGTGAAGAGTAATGATCGCCTACGTCCTGATGGGATATGGCATACTCGGGAGGAACACCCTTGCGTCTGTCCTCTTACAATCTCACAATTATTGAGAAGAATTTATTTCTAATTTAGTGTAAGGAATTGCCGGTCAAGTTTTTGGCAAAAGGCGGATCATTTTTGATAAAAGGCCAAGAAATAGGACGGGTAATTAATTTTGGCCGCTTTCAGTGATTTAGCCGCGAAAATCATTTTTTTTTTAACTGTTTAACTGCATGCGCGTGTGTTTGCGCATGCGTGCGCGATGAAGAGGATTTTCCACGCTATTTTAAGGACATTCTATTGACGCCGATTTTCAATCGATCTGTTTAATTATAAATAAATATAGGCACTTAGGGATATCACTCAGCCAATCGAGTTGTCAATATATCGATCTCTCAATTTATTGGCACAAATGATTTCTTCTATCTGGCGTCCATATATTGGGAATCGTTGACCGAAAAAGGACACTGTAAAAAAAAGAGATTTTTCCCGTTCGATTAGCGCCCCGCCCTGCAATTTAATGGCAAGGTTAATAAACAATTAATTATGGTGTGAATGCAAGCCCCCTTCTTTCAGCTCCCAACCCGTCACCAATTCGTGTAGCATTTTGTCCCGACTAAAAAGCTCAACCGTGTAAATTCTAGTTCTTTTTCGCCAACTTTACATTCTTTTTGCCCATTTAAAATGCGAACAGATAGATAGATAGATAGATAGATAGATAGATAGATAGATGAATAGATAGCTGAACAGATGAGATAGATAGATAGATAGATAGATAGATAGAATAGATCAGATAGATAGAATAGATCAGATAGATAGATAGATAGATAGATAGATAGATAGATAGATATGAACAAACTGAGATAGATAGATATGAACAGATTGAGATAGATAGATAGATAGATAGATAGATAGATAGATAGATAGATAGATAGATAGATAGATATGAACAGACTGAGATAGATAGATAGATATGAACAAAGAAAGAAAGAAAGAAAGAAAGAAAGAAAGAAAGAAAAGAAAGAGAAAAACTCGCAGAAGCCAAGGAATTTTTCAAAAACCGTCCTTTCTGCATAGAAGTCGTACTTTTCATACGACCTAACCATTCGCTTCCCCCACCCCCAATCCGCAAAATCTCGTTTATAAACATTATTAATGCAGTCTCCTTAATGTAAGAAAGAAAGAAAGAAAGAAAGAAAGAAAGAAAGAGACAAAGAAAGGAAGAAAGATATGAGTGGACTGAGATAGATAGATAGATAGATAGATAGATAGATAGATAGATAGATGTTAATTCTCGAATCAAGAACATCCAAGTGTATTTCTTAAACTAATTTTCACACGCGACCCCACCCGACTCTTTTCTGTTCTTAACGCAGGTGTAATATTAAATATAAAAGCATTTTGTTCTAGAATCGTTTTCTAATAATCCTGTTTACTCATGATGACACAGAGTTGTGGTTTGTTACGGGTGTCATCGTTGTTTTTATAGTCACCCAACGAAATTCCTCAAATAAATCGAATCGTTTGATTGAGCGCCTGAAAGCCGATCCTAATTCATATTCGTATTTCGCTCTCGTCATTTGTGATGACGTTGCTGTCCGGCGTGACGTCATGAATTCAATTGATGTCTCAATTCTAGAAAAATGCGCTGCATGACACAAATATCAACAAATACTGAAACGTCGATAAACACAATAAAAATAAATACAAAATTAGATTTTACAAATAAAAGGAGAGAAAAAAACAACTGAAATAAAGGAAGAAAGAAAAAAGCGCTTCAAAAGAAGAGACAGGGCAAGTGTTTATGATTTCACATGTTTTAGAAATTGGCAATAATGAAATCATGTAAACTTACCAGCACATTTGCGAAAAGGATTTATATAAAGAAACAGGAAGAGATGTAAATAGCAAAAAATAATTTGTCGCTAAAGTTTGATTGTTTATATATATATATATATACATATATATATATATATATATATATATATATATATATATATATATAACAACGTCAAATCCAGTCCGATAAGGTCTAACGGATGAAACGCGTCAGAAATTATTTTTCAATTTGTCATACATTTTCTTTTAAACTGTTATTGATATAAAAATTATATATCTTTAAATCCCGAAATACACACACACACACATATATATATATATATATATATATATATATATATGTGTGTGTGTGTGTAGATTGTAACGATATATATATATATATAAGGTGGGATAACGATATATAATTTATTTATATATATATATATATATATATATAGGTGGGATAAAGATATATAATTGATATATATATATATATATATATATATATATATATATATATATATATATACATACAGACAGACAGACACAAACAATTCATCATGTCTAGACCTAGAATCCTTAACACATACGCAGGAAAGCACAGGACGGTCGTTTCGACTTCAGCAGTTCACATCCTCTACCGACTTTGAGAATCCAACCCGGATATATATATATATATATATATATATATATATATATACCAGTTGCTAACAAAGTAGCACAACTCTGAGTTTCATGCACATCGCAATCGTTAGGTCCGGTTTGTAAATTTAACCGTTGTAAAAAAAGAAATGTATAAATGTAGCTCTGCTATTATGCATCGAGCACTACCACCAGCACTCAGTGTGCGATACTAAACAGAAAAAAGGGTTAAATCTCTACTCCTGTTCAAAAGACTGAATCGAGCAACTGCCAAACCTATCTACTCCTATTAATATATATATATATATATATATATATATATGTGTGTGTGTGTGTGTGTGTGTGTGTGTGTGTGTGTGTGTGTTAAGGAACAAGAAACTTTGATTAGAAACAAGGAAAAGTTTGCTGAACTGTTATAATGTATCAATCCCCCTTCATGGCAGTAAATACTGGGCTTGGATAAAGAGAAAACTCTGGGCAACAGAGATGTAGTTCTACAGAAGGATGCTGAGAATGCTATGAACAACTAAAAAGTTTTAAGGAACTATTTTACGTAAAAATCAAAAAGAGACTGTTGAAAATTCTAGAACCCACAATGAGAAAAGAAGGCGTGAAAATCTGATACTCTTAAGGCAAGAGTTTCAAAGGAAAGCTGGGAATTACCTAGTTTGTTTAAATGAATGGCAGAACAAGGGATAGTAAAAAGTTATTGCTAAGAGCTACAAAGGATAGGAAGTTGTGAAGAGTAATGATCGCCTACGTCCTGATGGGATATGGCATACTCGGGAGGAACACCCTTGCGTCTGTCCTCTTACAATCTCACAATTATTGAGAAGAATTTATTTCTAATTTAGTGTAAGGAATTGCCGGTCAAGTTTTTGGCAAAAGGCGGATCATTTTTGATAAAAGGCCAAGAAATAGGACGGGTAATTAATTTTGGCCGCTTTCAGTGATTTAGCCGCGAAAATCATTTTTTTTTTTTAACTGTTTAACTGCATGCGCGTGTGTTTGCGCATGCGTGCGCGCATGAAGAGGATTTTCCACGCTATTTTAAGGACATTCTATTGGACGCCGATTTTCAATCGATCTGTTTAATTATAAATAAATATAGGCACTTAGGGATATCACTCAGCCAATCGAGTTGTCAATATATCGATCTCTCAATTTATTGGCACAAATGATTTCTTCTATCTGGCGTCCACATATTGGGAATCGTTGACCGAAAAAGGACACAGGCCCTAAAAAGAGATTTTTCCCCGTTCGATTAGCGCCCCGCCCTGCAATTTAATGGCAAGGTTAATAAACAATTAATTATGGTGTGAATGCAACCCCCTTCTTTCAGCTCCCAACCCGTCACCAATTCGTGTAGCATTTTGTCCCGACTAAAAGCTCAACCGTGTAAATTCTAGTTCTTTTTCGCCAACTTTACATTCTTTTTTGCCCATTTAAAATGCGAACAGATAGATAGATAGATAGATAGATAGATAGATAGATAGATAGATAGCTGAACAGACTGAGATAGATAGATAGATAGATAGATAGATAGATAGATAGATAGATACGAACAGACTCAGATAGATAGATAGATAGATAGATAGATAGATAGATATGAACAAACTGAGATAGATAGATATGAACAGATTGAGATAGATAGATAGATAGATAGATAGATAGATAGATAGATAGATAGATAGATATGAACAGACTTAGATAGATAGATAGATATGAACAAAGAAAGAAAGAAAGAAAGAAAGAAAGAAAGAAAGAGAATAACTCGCAGAAGCCAAGGAATTTTTCAAAAACCGTCCTTTCTGCATACAAGTCGTACTTTTCACACGACCCAACCCTTCGCTTCCCCCACCCCCAATCCGCAAAATCTCGTTTATAAACATTATTAATGCAGTCTCCTTAATGTATCTGATCTGGTTGCAGTCCAAGTGACGAAGCTGAAACGCACTAAAAAGCCATCCACATATTCATTCTTTTTTCCTTTAGCTACACAACTACGAAGCATTGATAAAACCAATTCTACAATAAGCCCCTCCCTTACTCCCTTCACGAGCAAGCGAGTGGGCAAAACGCGAGCGCGCACACAAACACACACACACACACACACAGAGGGAGTGAGTCTGTTTTTGTTTTTATCCTATTTATTGTTTACTGACCTGGCAGCTCTTTTTGTGGATCAGTTTTAATATTTTATATTATTAGGATTCATTTGGATTATTTACCTGTAAAATGGTTGTAGCCTTAAAGAGGTTACTTGTGAAAGAACAGCAACACGTGCGTAGATGAAAGAAGAGAGGTTTATTGTAAAAGAGAATACATTAATGAAAGACAGGGAATCGGGTGGCAGGCTAGTAATTCCCGAAGCAAGGATATCTACCAACCGACCCACGCGGTCACATGTGGCACAAGGCCGAGTTTAATGTGAGGTATCCGACCCCGTAGGCTCGGGCAAAATTTCCCTGTAGACCCAGTAAAAAACAGGGTCGGGTGACTGTCTACCACCGCAGACGAGACTCTGCCCTTGGGCATAGCCTCTTTTGGGTTCCTCTCCGCCTGAAGGCAGAGAGTTCGACCAACTTAGTTGGAGACGATTCTCCAACTAATTGCTGAAGCAAAAATATTTGCCAACCGCCCCACGCGGTCAGATGTGGCACAAGGCCGAATTTAACGTGGGGTATCCGAGCCCGTATGCTCGGGCCAAAATTTAATGTGCCCCTGTAAAAAAAGGGTCAAATAGCTGTCTACCATCCCAGATGAGGCTATATATATATATATATATATATATATATATATATATATATATATATATATATATATATAAAAAAAAAGAACAGTAAGATATATAATCCGGTTTTCTTATAGATATTTTTATTTTTACAAAATAGTGCACACTGTAAATTTACAGAGCATTAATATTATAAATTAATTGATTTAAAATATGTTTTTCCGCTACACAGTTCTAACCATGTTTCAAAAATAGAATGCTAAACGCCCCAATTTAATTTTGCAATTAAATTAAAAGCATTAATTCCATTTTGGAGTAACTTTTAAAAGTTACTCCAAAATTCGCTTAAAAATGAAATGGAACTAATGCTTTTAATTTAATTTTTAAATAAAAGAATTAAAAACATGGTTAGCTGAAAAAAACATATTTTAAATCAATTAATTTATAATATATATATATATATATAGAGAGAGAGAGAGAGTTGGCCCTCCCCATTTAGAGATAATATCGATGCAAGATCCTCGCAAATATTTCCCCTCGTCTTCATCTCTCTTAATGACTCTTTCACACGTTTATAAAATGAAAATAAAAGAATTGCGTAAAACAACTGATTATTTATTTGATTATGTCATAAAAAAAGTTCAGCGCTTTTGAAAATTGATTTTATTTATTGAAATTTTGGTTACTTCTTATTGCACCATGACACATCTGTCGAAAATTAATTTTAACTCTGCCAATAGAAATCTTTCAGAAATAAAGTAGCCGTTCTACGAAATAGGAATGAACTGAAATTTAAGTCATACTTCACTGGATTTTCAAATAATATTTAACATTTACTTTTTGCAATTGCAAATTACGTTTGCTTACAGCGAGTGTCTGTTGTCCTCTTAACTCAGACACAAAACTAAATCCTTAAATAGAATTGCTTAAATATTTCATGAATTTTAATTAGTTTTCCATCTCGTCAAGTGTGCAATTTTTTTATAATCGACAGCAAAATACAAAAAATTTTATTTATTCATTAATAGCAATCATTAAATCCGTAAAAGTTAAACCCATAAAAGTCGAGTTTCGACGGCATAAAACACGCCCGTCGATTTCAAGAGGACATATTC